ATTGAAAATTTTATTAAAATATCTCACTCACCTTTGATCAATATCTTCCTCTAAGCAAAACATTTTTTTATTTTCATCTTTAGTACAATTTATTTGAATTAAATATTTATTTTTTTCTTTTTATTTGACTATGTAATACATATATTTTTCACTCTTTTTATTATCTAATGTACTATATAGATCACTAAATGCAGAGCTTCACAAATTGTTCTCATCGATTCTCTATGGATCACTTTATAATTTTTCCTATTATCTAAATTTTTACATTTAAACCAATTTTTGTAACAAAACATCTTATATTTTATCTTTTCTTGCATATTATTATTCCACCACCAACTATTTTTATTTATAAAAATGTTTTCCTATGATTTTATAAGTACGTCTTTTGCCACTTGGAACGCATCGCTTCGAGGGGCTTTAGCATTTGTGAATGATTAGGTGGATGAGTGACTTTACGCTTAGAGACAAAATGCGAAATGATTGTATTCGTGAAGGATTGGTGTAGCTTCTGTGAGGGAAAAAATTAGAGAAAGTTGTCTTAGATGGTTTGGTCACATTAAGCGTTGACTAGCTGATGATCTGATTAGGAGAGTAGATGTTTTAGATTTGACTTATGTTAAGAAGGCAGAGGTAGACTGAGGAAGACTTGGGCTTATTGTATAAAAAATGATCTTAATTTATTAGAACTAAATAGGACGCAATGGTGAAAAGGATTCATTTAGCCGACCCCACGTAGTGGGATTAAGGTTTTGTTGTTGTTGTAAACAACTTTTTGTTTTACATGCTTAACTTTAAAGCAATTTAATTTAGCTTCTAAACCTAATTTACTTATAGAAAGAGTAATTAAACAATTAATTAAGCTTCATACCTATATTTTTCCTCTACCTTTATTTTTGTCTTATCTTCCTTGTCGAAATCCTAAAATTTTAGGATTCAAACATTAGGATTTCTTAAAATTAATTGAATTAATTAGGGATAACATTTCTAACATAATAATAAATAAATAATTAAGATTTCATAATGAATTTTAAGGTTTTTATTCCTAAACTTATTCTTTCTGGATTCTTATGCTTAGCCTCTCTTTGCCTTCTTGTTCTTTTTATTCACATGTGATTCTTCGCAAGTTAAACGGGAGCATTCAAGTGTTTCTCGAGCATAGTAGGTCAGCTTGTCTGGAGAGAAAAGCTCGACTCTCCTCCCTCGCATCTATTCAAAATTGTATGAGGGCAGCTCGCCAGAGCTGCTTGCCTTTTCCCCCTTTCTCTATCGTTAAGACATAGGATATGCACCGACTTTACCAATTTGTACTTTGCTAGTCTAAAGGAAAACTACTTGTTGCCGAGGATCGATGCCCTAGGGGACGGAGCAGTCAACCAATCAGTAATGAGCTTCATGGACGCCTTCTCCAGATACTACTAGATCAAGATACACCCATGCGGGTGTGTTCGTCTATAGTGTAAGGTGGAGGAATATAAGCTTGAGCCACTCTCTTGTCTAGGCTAAACTCGATTAAGACACAAGAAGTTTCAACTGGAGCTCTTAGGACTGATTGCTTCTCTCCTCTACCACGCTCGTGTTCGCCTAGAAATATTCAAGATGCGCTCGATCGACAGAAGAAATCTCGCCTGAGTCTCTCGGGTGCTGAAGAATATCGCACAAGCTCTTTCTCCTTCCTCTCTGGCTTGGTCAAAGGTAACCTCTTTCTTTCCCTTCTTTAACTTCTTTTTTAGTTTCTCCTTCCTCTCTGGCTTGGTCAAAGGTAACCTTTTTCTTTCCCTTAACTTCTTTTTTATTTCTTTTTTAGTCCTCTTATTTCTTTTTCCAAGGCATGACTTCTTCCTCTTCTCACTCTCTATCTCACGCTCTCTTTGCATTTTCTTTCTCTATCTGTCTCTTTTGCTTCCTCTGCTGAGTTTGAATGGGAAAGAATTGAGGAGATATGCCCTCGTATACTTTCTATGGGTAGTGGTCTTCCCATTTTGAACGATTAGAATGTTGTTGATAAAATATGTCCACGAATTTATCCAAAAATGATTCAAAGATTATGTTCATCAGATCCATAAAGCTAGTTAGAGAATTTGACAACCCAAAAGGCATTATCACAAATTCATAAATGCCTATATATGGTACTGAAAGCTATATTTACTATACCAACTGGTAATAATCTGAGCATAGATAAATCTTGGAAAATACAGAAGTCTCTTCCAATTGATCAAAGTGACCATCAATCATTGGCAATGAGTATTTGTTCTTGATTGTGAGCTCGTTTAATCATCAATAAATACATAACCTTAAGCTCCCATCTTTTTTCGTAACAAAAAACATCGAAGCTCTCTAAGTGGAAGTGCATGGCTTGATAAGTTCATTCTCTAATAAGGTTTGTTGGCTCATTAATTCTTGTTGCTTCTTGATTGCCAACCTACGGGTGCTTTTGCAACTGGTTCTGCACCTCTATCTTTCTTCTTGGAGGCAAACTAGACAACTGTACTAAGAATATTTATGGGTACTCTTTTACTATTGATATGTCCTCTAACTTTTTGAGTTCTTTTGCAATATCATTGATTTGAGTTAAGAAGCCTTGATACCCTTTTGTAATATTTTATATGCATTTAAATTGGACATCATCATAGATAAGATTCCTCTCACAAATTTTATTTCTTCTTCTCTAGGGATATTGAATTTGACTATCTTTTTAAAGCAATCAATGGTTGTGAAATGATTAGATAGTCAATCCATTCCTATGATCACTTCAAATTTGGTTAGTGGTAACACCACCAAATTTGCCTTGAAGCTTCTATCACATATGGTCAGATTCACACAATAACTTCTATCAGCCATTATGAGGGACCCGCTATGTAGCATAGCTGATAAGATGTCAGACAACTTGAATGATTCCAATCCTTCAAATCTCACAAACTTTCCAAAGATAAACAAATGCAATGCCCCAAGACCAAATGGAGTACTGACTAATTTACGAGAGGATTAGTCTGAGAGAGCGCTAGTCCGTGTGCTATCCCCGCCCTTATGGTACCCAAGAAGGTTGGTTCATAGCGGACGTGCATTGATAACCGCACCATTAAAAAAATTTCCATTAAATACCGGGGTTTCCCATACCACGCCTAGATGATCTTTAGATCAGTTACACGAAGCCACTTTCTCTAAAGTCAACTTGCGTAGTGGATATCATTAGGTACGAATGCAGCCAAAATATGAGTTAAAGATTTTCTTCAAGACATGCGATGGTCTTTACAAATGGACAATTATGTCTTTCAGTCTGTCCAATGTGCCCAAGACTTTCATGCGATTGATGAATCAAGTGTTCCGACCCACATTGGGAAATTCGTGGTGGTCTTCTTCGATGATATTGTAATCTATAGTAAATTAGAAGATGAACGCTTGCAACACCTTTGGGTGATTTTTGAGGTGTTACGAGTCGAATAATTGTACGCTCACCTTAAAAATGTCACTTCATCACGAGCCAAGTATGTTTGTGTTTGTTGGGCTACGTCGTATCTAGCACAAACATTCAGATGGAGCCGTGTTGACCTCATTTTTAGTGAGGTCTTAGTCTCCTACTCTTATAACCTAGGATCTAGCTTTAGGAGTTCTTATTGACCATCCTAGCGGACTAGCAATGGAGCCCACCCCCCGTCAAGCCACTTCTTGACTCATTTTTGTGAAGAACTCGCGTGAGTGGTTCCAAGCACTCAATTTCTAGTTGCAAGGGCTAAGGACCAACATGTAGAAGGCCTGAAAATGAGTTCCTATAGGATCAAACAGCCTTAGGCGAACCCTTTGTGACTCGATTACTCGTGAACGCCGCAATTCATGCACTCTCTGCATCCCATACGACTTTGACTTGATTTGACTCGCCAGCCGACAAACTTGTCCGAACGATCCTGAATGACCTCACCCCATAGCTTTTTTCAGTGAAAAGTTAAATGACGGTCGACGAAAATATTGAACTTACGACAATGAGTTTTATGCCATTGTCAGAGCCTCGGAGCCCTGGATTCATTATCTACATACGAATGAGTTCACCCTGTTCACAAATCACGAAGCTTTAAAATTCGTAAGCAGTTTGAGCAAACTAAAAGTGCCTGGAGTAAGAACCGAGTTGCGGACGCATTGATTCGTCGTCGCCTACTGATTATTTCCACGATGACTTGCATTGTAGGCTTTGAAATTTTAAAAGATTTATACGAGATAGACGAAGACTTCTAGGAAATCTTGGAACAATGTCAGGAGAAACCAACCAGACAGTACTACCGAATGGATGACTACTTGTTCTATTCGGTAGTACTGCCCGGTTGGTTTCTAACTGGGCAGTACTACCGAATGGAATAAATAGTCGCCCAGGAGAACCAAATCGGAGGATTGGCCCAACATTTTATGCGGGGATAAGACTCACATTCGATAGAGTAGAATTTGCCATATCGCTAAAACCCACAGGTAGAGAATGGGATTTTACTCTTTTTACGGTTTTCTGAGGCACCATGGGTTGACTTCAACATGAACTTTGTGGTAGGACTTCCCGCACATAAAAGAATAAGGACTCGTTGATGGTGTTCGTAGACTATTTCTCAAAGAGAATCTCGCTCCCGATCTCCCTTGCACGCCACGCTTCTCTGCACCGAAATCCAAGCTCCCCTCGCCTCTTCCTCGCGTGATCTCCTTCTCCTCGCGCCGAAGACCCACACTCGCCTCGCCCGCTCCTCTCTGCGACTCGATCCGAGCTCCC